TAGGGGTGGGAGGTAACATCCTGATTTTTCAAAGCCACATTGCTTGAGGCCTGGCACTGACCTGTGTATTAGGAAGGAGCCCAGAGCCAGGATCTACCAAATGCCAGTGATTCTCCAACTCCAGTGAGGGGAGGGCATTCTGCATATTTTAGGAATTTGCTGTATGTGAATGTGACTCCAGGTTTTAAAAAAACAGGAAGAACACAGATAAAGCAACAAGCCTTTCATCTCTAAATACTACATAACCTGATTTCGGATCCCCAGCAGAGAATGCAGACACTCCCAAAATCAATGCATTAAATGTGTTAGTGGGACTCTTTCCTGCCCTGCTGAGAAGCAGAGTTCTGGTAAACTCTGGGGTCTGCCTTCCTGGGTCAACTAACTGGCTGTGTGACCTTGGGCAAGGTACTTAATCTCTCCAAACCTCAGCTTGCTTGCCTGGAAAATGGGGATGATAAGAGTTCATATGTCATATGGGTGCTCTGAGAACTGAATGAGCTCATCCCTGTAAAGTGCTTAGCACAGTGACTGGCGCATAACCAATATCCAACACTAGCTCTGCTCACTGGCTTCTCTGGTCCCTGCCAACTCCAACAGCTGGCGCACAGACCAGAACCGGGGACCCAAGTTAGGTGTGAGATAAGTACCCTTTCTTGGCTTGGCATAAAGAAAATGAGGGGCGCCTGGGTGGCTTAGTCGGTTAAGCGTCCGACTTTTGCTTAGGTCATGATCTCGCGGTTCGTGGGTTCGAGCCCCGTGTCGAGCTCTGTGCTGACTGCCAGCTCAGAGCCTGGAGCCTGTTTCAGTCTGTGACTCCCTCTCTCTCTGACCCTCCCCTGCTCACGCTGTCTCTCTCTCTCTCCTAGAAATAAATAAAAAACATTAAAAAAAAAAAAGAGTATTTATTGAGCACAGCTATGAACCAGACATTGAGCTAATTGTTTTTACCCGTAGTCTCATTTAACCCTCTTGGAAACCCTCTAAGGTGAATTTCATTGTCTGCACTTGACAGGAGAAGAAGGTAAAGCTCAGAGAGGTTCTGGGATCTGCCCGAGGCCACAGGTTCAAGTCCTGGACCTCTGGTTTGAGAACCATCTTCTGGTGCCCCTTGTAGAGGCCGTATCTTCATTTCTTATTCTAGTGAGTCCTACGCTAGCATATCCTTAATGTACTTAACAGGCAATATATAACACTTCTTTTAATCACGCAGTAAACATTATTTAAGTAATAAATATAATTGTCAACATTTCTGGGGAAAATAAAGAAAGGTTAAAAAAATCAGACATAGGGGCGCCTGGGTGGCTTAGTCGGTTAAGCGTCCGACTTTCGCTTAGGTCATGATCTCGCGGTTCGTGGGTTCGGGCCCCGCGTCGGGCTCTGTGCTGACTGCCGGCTCAGAGCCTGGTGCCTGTTTCAGAGTCTGTATCTCCCTCTCTCTCTGACCCTCCACTGCTCATGCTGTCTCTCTCTCTCTCCTAGAAATAAATAAAAAATATTTAAAAAATTTTTAAAAATATCAGACATATTAGCATCAAGTATGGCAGCCCCCCAACATGAGGGAACCTGGCTGGTGCGCTCTCCCTCGGGATGTCTGGGTGAACACCTGACATGAACACCGCCCATCCAGAGCAGGCTTTATTTGTGAGTCCCGACCCATCCCTACCTTACCTGAGGTATGCGCCCACCCACCTACCATATTGGTGCAAGTGCCCCACTTCTTTTGGGAAAACAAATGTCCATTAGTGTGTGTTAAACATTTCTGCCTGGGTGTCCTGCTATTTCCACAAACTCCTATGTCAAAGTTTCATCACTCTTGAAAATTACCTCTTCCTCTAGCACATTCCAGTAAAGCCTCCCTCATGTCTGTACAGCCCAAGCTCAACTTTAAGAGTCATCGTTGCCGCCTCCCTCTCCCCCCTGCCCCACATCCTATCTGTCCTCTGCCAGGTTCTGCAGGCTTGTCATCCATAAAGTCCTTGTTTGCCTGTCTACTTGGCTCCTGCGGTCATCATCGCCCAGCCTTCACGTCTTCTCCTATCTCCTTCTCAGCCATCAGGCTTCAGGCTCTCTCCCCTGAACACCTACTTCTACAGATTAACCTTTCTGGAGATGTATCTGGACCATCGTGTTCACCACTGACTATGCAGGCCAACCTCTAAGCAGATCAGCCTGGCGTTCCCAGTGCCCTTGTCCAACTCTGTGGCCCCCCAGTCTCCCTACCCAGATGCTGTGCTCTGGCCAAGCTGGTCTCCCTCCTGTCCTGCCACGTGCATTCCCACATTCATCAGCATTTCGGGAGAAACCACTGTGCCGGGGCTGGGATGCAGGATGAATGTAGCATAGTTCCTGCCCTCTGAAGGCTCCCTTTCCAGTCTGACGAACGGACAGACAGACAGAGAGACTGCTATCATCCAATGTGACAGGTGGCCTGCAGAAAGGTATGTATGAGGTAAGGCAGACGCCAAGAACAAGTGAGTGATGCAGAAGGTGGGGAGACATCGCAGGGGGGGGAGGGAGGCATCGCTGACTGGGATCAAATCCTGGCTCTGCCATTTATTTGCTGTGTGACCTCAGGAAACTTAATTAACCCCTCTTCTTCCCAGTTTCCTTATCTGTAGGATGGAGATGATCACACTATTTGTTTCATGGCACTTTTGTGAGGGTTAAAGAATTAATATAGATAAAACCCGTAGAACTTCCAGGCCCATAATGTAAGTCAACAAACTTCTGCTCTCTATTCTATTATTACCTCCCCCCACCCACCCACCTACCAATTCCCACACACACCCCTCCATCCTAGAGAACAAAATCAACTCAATACACATTCACTACAGATCCGCTTGGCATCCTAGGGAGACACCCTCTGATATACCAGCCCCCACCCCTGGCCACTCCCTCCCCTGAATTCTGACAGTGCTCTCTACCTACTTGATGAAATCTGCCTGCGGTGTTATCTCTATGACATCTGCCTCATCTTTCCAACTCTATTGAAGACAGAGGAAATAAGAACAGGCAAAGGAGGAAGAAATCTTCCTTAAGCACATACCGTGTGTGTTTTTATACACATTATCACACATACCTTTCCCAACCAGTATTACCCCCACTCCCCAACAGCTGAGGACATGGAGGCTCCCAGCAGCAAAACGATTTTTTCTAAAAAGTCCCAGATAACAAGCTAACAAGCGGCAGAACCACAACTTGACCTCGGCTTTTTCTCACTCCAAAGTCAGTGCACATTCTTCACCCAGCTCTCTCTAACCTGGGCGGCACTGACCTTGCTGCCTACCTCCCTTACCTCCCACCATGACTTGAAGTAAGAGAAATCAAAGGCTGTGCGCCAGGCCCCCTGACCTCACAATTCTACTTCTAGGAGATAATGAAAGCATAGGTGAAGATATAGCTGCAGTATTGTTGTCAATAGGGAACAAACTTCAAACTGTCTAAATGTCCAACAAGTGGAACACTGAGCAAACTGGGGCATGTCCAAGTAATGGGATGCCATATAGCCCGAAAATGTCATAAAAATGTCTTTATTGACCTAGAATGATGCTTTTCATGTATTGTTGAGTGGGGGGATGGGTTAAAATGGTATGTATCATTTAGTGTGTGTGCATGGGTGTGTGTGTGTGTGTGTGTGTGTGTGTGTGGAGGAGGGAGAAGAAGAGAGACAAAGACACAGTCCTCAAACAGTATATGCAACCAAAATGTAAGCCATCTCTCAAGAGAAAGATTATGGGTGGTTTTATTTTTCCTTTATGATTATCTGCAATTTCTGACTTTTCTGCAATGAGTATATACTATTTCCATAGAAAAAAAATATATTAAAAAAAAATCTTCTACAGATGTTAATTTCTACCCTGTTGTTGGTCATCCACATCATGGGAGGAATTATTTGCCACAAAGTTTGCATTAAGAAACAGCTAGCTGAGAACAGACCCTGACTGGAAGAGAAAATAATTCCAGAGGGTGTGGGTGACAGCCCCCAAAAGGCAAACCAAATGGTTGAGCGCTACAGAGGTGCAGCCTGGGGTGGGGAGGGCAGGCAGCAGGAGCAAAGGAAGAAGAGAAACCGCAGCTTCTCTTCAGCCCTGCCTGTGGCCAGCTCTGCTGGGACACTCTGCAACCTGTGTCCGTGACACGACAGCATTTAAATATTTAAACAGACCCAGCTTTGCCATAACAAATGCGCTCAGTCTCCAGGGATCAATCCCATGCCACAGGCCCTGCTCCACAAATCAAGTTTCTGGGGCACGGAGCCTTTCCCACCCTCCCCCGCCGCACCCCATGCAAAGACCTGCAAGATAATAGCGTGGACAACTGAGTGATGAGCCTGGCTTCCCTTCAGTGACAAGGGCAGCCAGCCTGAAGGCCACGTTATTGGCTTTTGCACTGCAGCTCCACACTAAAAGCACATGAGCCTTAGAGAATGCAGGGCCTTAATGCCCTCAAAAAAAAATTTCTTTTTAATAAGACTGCAAGAGTCATCTGGTTCTTGCTGTACACTCAGGTATGGGGGACTCCAGGGTAATTTTAGAAGGCTGAGGTCAAGCAGATTTTCTGGGACCACCTTGGGCACAAGCTGGGTCTGGCTTATACACCAGTCCACCATCCCACACACCCTCTCAGCCTGTGCATGGCAGGCCAACACCGTCTCCGGGGCGAAGAGCCTCCTTGTGAGGTCACCACCTAGGAATGAACGAGCCCATGGTGTGGGCAGGTCTAGAGACTCAAGAAAGGGGCCCACTCACTGATGGATCAGGAAAGTTGATGTCCTAGCCGCTAAAGGGTGAAATCGGGACGAGATCCCCAGACTTTGCTTTTAGCTCCATGCCCTTCTTCCTCCACTATTCCACCAACAAGAAGAGCAGGAAGGGATCCTGAACCCTATTTTGACACTGCCCCAAGTGGACATAGATATCCCTCCACTGACTTTCTAGAAGGGAGGCAACACTGTGGAGTGGCCATGTTTTCGGTCACAAGCCACACAATCAAAAATACGTGTCTGTGGGGTGAGGGTGGTGGAGAACAAAGTTTTTACTGATATGGAGGCTGGGTTGAGAGCACCCACTCCTGATGTGTGAATACCCGACATGACTCAGAGGTGAGTCAGGCTCCCATGAGGGCTTTGATCATGTCTATTTGCTTTTTGTCACTAATCCACCCTAATGCCCCAGTTTGGGAGGTGGGGGGTGGTTTTAACAGTTTCAAATGTAAAAGGCTTAAAAGTATATCATCTATTCCGTTCCACTTCAATTATCATGACTACCTGATCCCAGCTTGCCAGACTGACACCTAGAAGCCATCTGTTAGCAGTGGACATGGCTTTACCTCATGAATACTCATGTGCTTTTAGTGTGATCACTAATTCACTTTTAAAACATGTTTTCTCCTCAATTCTCAGGAAAGCCAAACTCCAAGGTCGGAAAGCATATGTCACCAGCACCTTGTGTGGGTGTGTTCTGGGGTACGTCAGCTCGGGCTGAAGAAGCCAGGATTCACAAACCAGCTTTAGCATGAACCAGCTGCCTAACCTTGGACAAGTCCCTTTATCTCTCGAGCCCCAGTTTCTCCACAGTAAATCAAGGTCAATCGTCCCTCCCTCTCAAGGTTATTGTGAGGATTTATAGAGACAAGATATGTAGCCCAATGCCCTGCACACTGTAAGCACCATGAGAAGGAGTTAACACCGTGATCAGGAAAACTGGGAACAAAAGCAAGTGTTGGCAAGGATGTGGAGAAACTGGAACTCTCGTCTACTGTTGGGGGGAATGCAAAACGGTGCAGCTGCTCTGAAAAATAAGTATGAACGTTCCTAAAAAAAAAGGAAAGAAAAGAAAGAGAAAGAAAGAAAGGAAGGAAGGAAGGAAGGAAGGAAGGAAGGAAGGAAGGAAGGAAGGAAGAAAGAAAGAAAGAAAGAAAGAAAGAAAGAAAGAAAGAAAGAAAGAAAGAAAGAAAGAAAGAAAGAATGAATTACCACAGGATCCAGCAATCCCACTTCTGGGTATTTATCCAAAAAGAATTGAAATCAGGATCTCAAATATTAGCACCCCCCCACGCCACGTTCACTGCAACACTATTCACAATAGCCAAGATGTGACAACAACCTGAATGTCCATTAACAGATGAATTGATAAAGAAAATTTGGTAGATACACACAACGGAATAGTATTCATCCTTAAAAAGGAAGGAATCCTTCAATATGCAATAACATGAATGCGTCTTGAGGACACTATGCGAAGTGAAATAAGCCAGTCAGAGCAAGACAAATACAAGAGGTATCCAAAATAGTTCACAGCATCAAAGAGTGGAATGGTGGTTGCCAGGGGCTGGTGCAGAAGGGGAGGTGGGGAATTCCTAACCAATGGGCATGAAGTTTCAGTCAAGCATGACGAATAAGCCCTCTAGAGCTGCTGTGCAACATTATACCTAGACTCAGCAATATATATTGCACACTTAAAAATTTATTAAGAGGGTAGATGTTGTGTTAGGTACTCTTCCCGCAGTAAAATAAAGTTAATTTTTTTTAATTTTTTAAAACTGGGAAGGGGGAAAAAAACTTCACAACTTGCTTCCACTGTGCCCAGCAAGGGGGTAAATGGGTGCTTTGCTCCTCCCTAAATGATGGATGCTTAGAGACAAATGGTCTCCCTCTCTCCCCCGAATATCATCCCATCACAACCATCTTCTCTCCTATGATGCTTCTTGAACGAAGATAGTGGAAAAGTGGGTCTCATCTGGAGTTCACCACAGTGACACTAACAGAAAATTCAGGGTAGGGAGTAGTTGGGGAGAGAAGAGAGAAACATTTAGAACATCCCAGTAGCCCGACCTAAGGATTGCTTTCGTATGTCTGTCTCCAGTTATCACACCTCTAAAAGGGGGTTAATGATACTGTTAGGATTTAAAGCTATTGCTATTAAGAAAATTAAAGCCAAGTGCTGGATTGCTGAGCTTTATATGGGACTTGATGCATTTTAGATCAATGCTGGGGGGAAAAAACAGGAAAGGAAAGATTCTAAAGAGACCAACTAAAACAATGAAGAGAGCCTATGGCACTTGACCTGGAGAATTCCTGAAGACTCTAGAAACCTCCAGATGCAAAAAGCAGGGAATAATGAAAGGGCTGAGCAGTCTGAGGCCAGAAGCCTTTGCATTTGAATGAAGTATACCAGTCACTCTCAAAAGTCAATATTCAGAAGTATCCCCTGAGAAGCTGTCAAAAAATGCAGGTTCCTGGGCCTGTTCCCCATGATTCTGATGGAAGAGGTCTGGTATGAGGCCCGGGAATCACATTTTAATAAGTGTCTAGATTCTCTCTGCGCAAATGGCCCGGGTCCATGCTTTGATAAACAGTGACAGCCTTCCCCTCAAAATCATATTCAGTTGCTCTGTTTGTGAGTAATGAACACTTTTCTTTGACAAGAGACTGAAAGGGAAGAAACTGAACTATAATATAATCCTTAAGCTTGGTAAACTTGCAGGATAATTAATAGGGATTGGTTACTTGCTGGAAAATGAAGTATTCACGTACACGCATGCCACAGATTGGGTAAAAAATAAATTATGTTCAGATGATTTAGTATTCTCTGAGATGGAATATTTTCAACGGCTGAATGAAAGGCAACAGGCAAACGATCTATCACCTGAAGTTAGCAGCTTAAGATAACATTTCAACCACCCATCGTGAAAGGGATGCTTGGACTAGGAACATAATAGGTCAACTACATTTAGGAATATAAACCATTCAGGGTTAAATATAATCACATCTGAAGGATGACTCCTACTACCTCACATAAACTCAGAAAGAGGTGGTGGGGTACAAGGTGGCCTAATACTTTCATAAATAACTCGAAAGATGGAGGCCAGATCATGCAAATCCCCACAGACAACACAAAAATGGCAGGGATGGGGAATCTGTGGAGAATGGAATTCAACCACGGGGCAATGTCTTTAAATTTGCCTTTATCAAATCTTGTGTAATGAAGTCACATATTATTGTATCTCTTTATTGAGACTCAATAGGGCTAAATGCAGAGTGATTTATGGAAGAAGGAATAATCAGATGCATTAAGTAGAAAAGAGCACGCACCTGAAGAGGCATTAGCACGGGGTCAGGACAGGCACTGCATGGGAAGTCGTGTGTAGTGCACTGGGGTGGCCACGCACTTCTGTTCTCTACACATTAAGAGAACTGTACTAAGCCCGATGTGTAAAATAAACAAGGAAATGTGTCTTTTACTCTCTGAGCCACTTGGCTTTGGTGTTACTTCCGGTGGGAACCCTGAGCTTAAATGTAAACCTGGAAAGGAACTGAGAGCAGGCCATCACAGAGGTTATGGGATGTGACCCCAGATAAACCAAGAAGACAAGGGGATGTTAAAAGAGCTCCCAGAAGAGACAAAATGCTCAGTGTGCCTCTTTCTGGGGAAAAGATGCACAAAAGATAAGGGAGCCTATAGGAGTAAAAAAATTTAGCTCCTATTAAGGAAAAACAATCATTCCGAGCACAGTTGGAATCGTGGAAGAAAGGGTAGCTTATGGTAACACCATCCCTGGGGACACTCAAGGAGGTGACCAGACACTTCTCTACTTAGGATGCATTAGAGATTATTAAAAGCATTCCTTGCTCAATTCGGGGGTGGAGGGTGGGCCTTGTGACCTCTCTAAAGGTCACTCCTATCCCAAAGGATCACTTGTCTGAAGGGCACCAGATAAAAATAAAGTCTATTAATCACCAAGCTGCCACACAATTTCCTACGAGAGCCAGAAGAGAGAAGGGCGATCTACAGTGGACGTTGGTCTGTTGAGGGAGGGAAAGGGAGGCAGCGTCTGTGTGGGCAGAGCCAAGGAATCAGCTGCTGAGACTTCCAGAAAGCCAAAGTCAGGCCTTCATTTAGGCCTCCCAAGCATCACAGGGTAAGCAGAAAGAGAAAGACACTGTGGAAATGGGAACAGGAAACAGCGAATGATGTGAGGGCCCCTAATCACAGCCACAGGAGCTAGGGTGGGGGGGGAAGGGGGAGGGCATGATGCAAGCACCTCATTTAGAAAGAGGGGAGCCAGACACAAGAGGGACACCCCCAAGGGCACGCCGCGAAGGTGACTTGTAAGGAGGCAGGCAGCAGACAAAGAGTAAAGAGAGGAACTGAGAGGTGGGTGAGGAAGGGCACACGGGGTGTGTCTGCGAATATAGGGAACTACGGGCTCAGAATCCAATGAAAACTGAAGAGGTAGAGCAAAAAGGAATCCCACTATCTATGGGAACAGAAAATCACATAACAAAAATAAAGCTTTTGCAAAGAGGACTCGAATGGCAATGCCCAGTCCCAAAGCAGCTGTTGGCATTCTTGAGAGCTGGGCTGCTCCAGCCAGACACGGCTGGAAAGCCTGCTCCATGGGGGTCGGAAGGACCCTTCACAGCCCAGAACCCAGTCCCACAGGGCTTGCGTGTTCAGGCTTTTACGTATCAGAACAAAACAGAGCCAGGAGGCAAGACCCAGGCCAAAGCAGGCACCACCTGACATTGCCCTGAGACATGAGACCCCATGCCCTGCTCCCTCCTCATCCTGGACCAGAAACCGCTTTTGGGAGGGAGATGTTACCTGCAGGAGTTGTCTCAGGAATGCCATCTGCACGGTGTATTAAGCAGCCAAATGGGGGTCATGGAGTTTGAGTTCTTCTAGCAAAATGTTCTCCAACCAGCTGTCACCCCACCGGGCACAGAACAACTTTTTGAAATCAAAAGAGGCCAGTGAAGAGGGGGGAAAAGGGCACCACCCCCGAGGTGCACCCTGAGCCCCCTCGCCCCCGTTCTCCCTCTGCTTCCACTGAGACTGCAGATGCAGTGGGACCTGCCTGAGTCACCTGGGGGCCCTTCTCCCGTGGCACCGCTCTGCGACCTTGGAGGGGAGAAGACAGGAGGGGAAGATGGCCAGGGGGTGTGGTTTCGAGGGCTGTCTTGTTGTGGAAGGAGCGATGGCACCCCGTCCCGTGAGAAGAAAACCAGGGCAAGGATTTTAAACCCACCACCCAGAGCTCTGGTGGGTGAGAAAGAGAACAGCTCTCCACCTGAAGGCCATCCCTCCAAAGGCTGAAGGTTTCTGGAGGCACACCCGCCGCCCCTGCTCCCGCTCTCCCTCAGCATCCCCCCCAGCTCTGTCTGCATCCCCTAAACCCAGGAGTCGGGGGTCCTTATCCAAAAGACGCCTCTGAAGCAAGCAAGAAAGGCTGGAGATGGATTGAGGGCCATTTATTAAGCTAAGTCGTCGTCAGAGAAAGATTCATAACTCGCACTACCTAGGACAGGAGACCAAGAAGGAAATTAAAGGGAAACATGAAAAGCCAGAGGAGCCAAGTACCTTGGTTGGAGGATTTTGAGTTATGCTTTTGTTTGTAAGTCTCTGAAACAGAGAAAGAGGATGAATCTTTAGGAAACCCAGAGAGTGAGGGGAAGAGAAAGAGAGAGAGAAAGCCAGAAGAAAGCCACCAAGGAGGCACTGCCAGAGAGAGGGGGCCAGCATCACAGGCAGGAGGCCTCCTTGGCTTGCTCGTCCCTCATGCACAAATATCTGGGCGGGCGGGTGGCAGCGGCGGTGGTGACTCGGCTGAGGGGAAGGCATGTGGGGTGGGGTGCAGGCCCAAGGGGAGGAGCCAGTGAGCCTGAGGCTGGGGGTGGACAGCCGGGGAGCACAGCGAAGGGGGTGCTGGGGGCAGGGGCAGGAAGGCAGCAAGCATGGTACTTACTGTCACAGACGTAAGGTTTGTCATGGTCTTCCTGAGAGGCGGCGTCGTGCCTCCTCCTGCCACCTGCAGAGCCACGGGCCTGGGGAGACAAGGGGGTTCGAGGAGGCTCGTTATCGCAACGGTTACGACAGCTCCTGAGCACGCGCTCTGTGAGGCCCTGAGCCTCTCATCAACATCTCTTCATTCAATCTTCCTCCCAACATTCGAACCAAAACCAACCCCATTTTACAAGCCAGGAAACTGAGGCCCAAAAGGTCAGGTGACTTGCCCCAGAGCACTCAGCACACATACCATCTCATTAAGTGTTCACAACTCCAAGAGAGGTACTACTATGATCTCCATCTTACAGATCAGGAGGCTGAGGAAACAGCCCATTAAGTAGCTTGTCCAGGGCCACTCAGCTACTAAATGCAGAGCCAGGATGGTAGCTCACGATGGTCTGACCGCAAAGCCCACGTCTACCCAGTCCCCATACTCTACTGTTGCCACAAGCACCCCCTCCTCCAACTGCTTAGCCTTCTAGCTGCGTTGACCCCACCGGGAGATGCCCGCTCTGCTCCCCTCAGCTGACCGGACGATGGCTGACTGGGAGCAGAGGCAGTGTGACTGCAGTCATCACTCCAGGCACACGCTGTCCCCTTCAAGTCTCTTAAGAGCCAGCTAGGCCTGGTGTCCAGGCCCAGGGCATGAGCCCGGGCATGGGGGGGCGCTCCCTCTGGCCTGCTCTGTGGGGGTGAGCTTCGGCTGAGGCCTCCCTGTGTGGTCTGCTTCAGGCCTCCAGCCAGTGACAGGGACCCTGACACCTCACAGTCTCCTGGGCCAGGACTCCTGATACCACTACCTTGCACTCATCTCCAAAAAGGGTCAGCATACCCAGGGGTGGGGGTGGGATGAGCTCTGCCTCCAGAGATAGAGGAGAGCAGCCAGAGAGGGTGCTGGCAGCCCTGCAGCCCCAGGACAGTGGCTGCAGAAAGCGGCACGGTTTATTTTTAAACCTTTGTAAGTCCCACACGGTCACGTGTGTAGCACCCTGGCCTCCTCCAGGTCATTCTCTGGTAATGAGTAGCAGTAAACTCCCAACCAGGGAGAGGGCCTGCTGGGGTCTTTGGGGACAGAGAAGGAGATGGAGCAGATGAGAAATAAAACATGGCAGCAAACTGGGGTGTGGGGAGGAGGGGGCGGGGGGGAGGAATGGGACAGTCCCCTGGGCTGGGCCTGGACAAGTGGCCTTGGGGACTTCAGGGTCAAATGGCCTGTGACGCTTACACACACACACACATTCTCTCTCTCTCTCTCTCTCTCTCTCTCTCTCTCTTTCTCTCTCACTGGGGATTTCACAGCGGAAAGGCCTGTACCCCAGGCCTGGGATGTTCACACACTCTCACAAAACACACACACTTCACAGTCAACACCACCTGCCAAGCTACCACCGCCACCACCTCCTCGACTTATCTCTCTCCAAAACAAATTACAAAATTCCACCTCCCTCATTCCCTCCCTCCCACCGCTTTGCCTCTCTGCCTCCCCACCCCCCATCTCTGCACATAGCAGCAACAGCCAGCGGCCCCCTCCCCTGGCCCTCATTACTCAGAGTTGACCTGAAGAGGGAGCTGTGAGGTGCTGTGGTCACCCCCAGGCACTGTCAGGCCTCCCTGCCTGCTCAGGACAATGACATGGAGGCTGGTCACCCTCAGCTGCCCTCGCCACCCCCTCCCCCGCACGCCCCTATGGTGAAGCCAGGGACAGCTTGATGTGTGCAGCCCGCAGCCCTGTCACAGCCGCCTGGAGCAGGTGAAAGCAAGTGAAGCAGAATGACAAGCCAGCAGCAGACGCGGGGAAGGGGCTCTGAGAGACTAAAAATACCTCCTGGGAGATGAGAAGGAGACGTGGCTCCTGAGGGAGCGGCTAGCAGGAGGGCAAGCGGCCCAGCTGAAAGCCAGGGTCAGATTTCACTCTGCAGGGCTGACCAGCGAGGTCACTTCCACACTTTCCTTGCACCTTGGTTTCCTCAGCTGCCAAATGCACCCGTGCAGGAAGTCTTCCTGTTCTATAGTCTCCTGCAATCGCTCCAACTTGGCAACTCAGAATCCCACTTGTCTTCCTCAGGTGTCACGTCCTCAGAGAAGTCCTCCCTGACCAACCTATATCTATTCACATGCTCTCCAAAGTTCTCTTCTCCCTGACCAGCACTTAGCATTGTCTGACATTATATTATACTGAGTTGCATACGTGTTGAGCTTCTGTCTCCCTAACAAGAAAATAGAAAACACGTCTGTTTGGGCCATGCTAGACTCAGAACCTGGCACACGGCCAGCCACTTAAGATGCACTTAATAAACCTTTGCTGAATCAATCAGTCACTCAGTGAGTCAATCATCTTTGGTTCTTCTCCTTCATTCTTTCTACCCAAGCGCTATGGTTTCTTCCCCCGAAGGCCATCTTGGGCTTTGCATTTCCCTTCTATTCCGCATTTTACTCCAGGAGCTCATCAACTGACCCCTGAACTGCTCAAAGAATCCACCAGCTGGGGGCCTACCTCTGCACTGCCCTTCCCAATCCAAAACACGACTCCCAGACCAGTAGACAAAAGGAGTAAATGACACAGCCCATAGCCATTTATTCATTCATTCATTGCCATCTAAAATCCACTGACACATCCAACGGCAACCTAGTGCTAAATCCATCAGGCTCACCTCATGCTCATGCTATGTCTGGGTCTTTGCTTTTATTGATCCCTGTTATGGATCAGCCTCTGCTCTGCCACCCACACTGGTCCATGCTTTAGCCCCACTAACATCCACTCCTCCGAGAATTTTCCTCTTGCCAAATTGAGGAGTAAAAAGACTATCAGCTTTAAAGTCAGACAGGCATAAGTTTAACCACCAGCCATGTGTCTTTAGACAAGTCACTTCTCTAAATTTTAATTTTCTCAACTGTAAAATGGGCATAGAAACACCTTTTCTTCAGAGTTGCTAAGAGGGTTTGCATCAAGAGTGTGTGAAACCACAGGGGATAAGGCCCCATCCACAGGAAGTGCTCAATAAATTATTTCCCCTTCTTGCCCAAGCTGATCTCTTCTCTCTCCTCTGAACTTTTATTGCATTTCGTTAGTGCACAGGCAGAAGCCTGCTGTTTTCTAATTGTATCATGGCTGTTAGTATTTTCTCCTCAGTTTAATCCCGAGGTCCTTAAAAGCAAAGATGGCATTTCATATGTTATTATGAGCCCCCAACACTTAGATCTATGCCGGGCACACAGCACTCAAAGCTCTTTCACATGTGTTAGTTCAAGTCATTCCTCCAATAAACCGTGAGTCACAGAGAGTAATATTACTCCCGTTCAGCACTTGACGAAACCACCTCTAAAAGTGTTTGTGACTTGTCCATAGTCACAGAGTCAGTAGAAGGAGCAGGACCTAGGTTTCCAGACTCTGTTCTGTAAGATTTTGAAGCTGACTGTCCAAAAGAAACTGGTCCTCCCTCTCTGAGAACTGTCCACCCCATTCTATTCCTCACCATTTCGCCTTCTATTCAGATACTGGTAAGCCGCGACAGCCATGATTGCACCACGTGGCCCAGCCCCAATAGCCACAGTTAATTGGCTGGCTCAGTAATTACATGACCTAAGATGGGCCAGATTCTACCTATAAAGGATTTGGAGTTGGGAAAATGACTCCCGCGAGCACGCACACTTGAACTGGGACCCATCTTGTTCAGGAGTTAGGAAGCCATGCAGGTCAGCAGGAAACAGTCTTTTGACAGAAAACCAAAGAAGTAGAGGCCACAGCTGCCTGGGTTCCTTATTCTTTCCCAGTCCTAAGTCCCTGCCATTTTCTTGCCTTGGTAAGGTTGCATCTTCAAAGATCGCTCATAGTTGGGGCAATGACCCAGATGCTTTTCAAATACTCTACATTTTTGCTGAAGCTGTTGACTTTCTTGCAATTAAAAGACCTTTGATTAGGAGAGGCTCAGAGAGCTAGTTGCTCTATAGGAGTTGTTCTCAAGTGATGACCCAGGGTTCCCTGGGGATCTTTGAGACCCTTTCTGCTATCAGAACTATTTTTGCAACAGTACCTAATAGTACTAGAATGTTACTTGAAACTTTACACTCTCAATTCTCTTACAAGTGCACAGTGAAGTTTTCCAGGGGCTACCTGACATGATGATGTCCTCACTCTGCGTGCTGGTGTATTCTGAAGGTGAGCATTTTTTTTTTTTTGGCATTAGTTTCTAATATAGTAAGTATCACTAGTTATAACCCACCAGAACAACAGCTTTGGGGGGCTCTCAGTAATTTGTAAGTAAAGAATTCCTGAGATGCCTCTCCCTCCCCCCCAAAAAACCAAAAAACTGAGAACCATAGCTCTACATCCTTGCTGTTTAAAATGTGGCTCTCAGACCCACAGGGCTGGCATCACCTGGGAGCTTGTTAACCAAACAAAATCTCAAAACCTCAGCCCTCTCCCCAGCCCCCAGACCCACTGCGTCAGAATTTGCACTTTAATAACATCACCATGTGCTTTGTATGCATATTACAGTTTGAGAAACACTGGACTGCACCACAGTGCATCAATACACGGTTACTGATTGACTGATTGATTGATTGACTGACTGATTGATAGTACTCACATGGATGCCTTCCAGCAATTTCATGAATTTTAAAGAGCGTGGGTTTCTTGGGCTAAAGTTACCATAGACACAGTCATTAATTGTTGGGTCTGAATTTCCCTCACCCCTCAGGGTATCGCCATTGTCAAAACTCCAATAGTTGTTCCCTTTACAGCCTCTTAACAATGTCTCTAGCCTTTATTAAGCACTCAGAATTGGCTGTGTATTATTACTCCCATTTTAATTATGAAAAACTGAGGCCGAGGGTACTCACATAATTTGATCAAGATGATGAGGTTATGTAATTCACCCAAAGTCTAGTAAATAAATGGTGGAGCTGGGATCTGAACTCCTGGTTCAAACAAGGCAGAGGCTGTTCTTATAATCACTACCTAACCCATGGCTTCCTCAATGAGTGCATAGAGCACCTGGAGGTCTTGTCAAAGTGCAGACTCTAATTCGGTCCATCCAGGGTGGAGTCCCAGGTCCCACATGTTTGACAAGTGCCCAGGTGATCCTGAAGCTGCAGTTCAGGAACCATACTTTTTTTTTTTTTCTCAAACTGGAAAACTGTTTTATTTTTTTATATTTATATATATTTTTCGAAAATAGTTTATTGTCAAGTTTGTTTCCATATAACACCCAGTGCTCATCCCAACAAGTGCCCTCCTTCATGCTCATCACCCCCCCTTCTCCTCTCCCCCCACCCCCATCAGCCCTCAGTTTGTTCTCATCATTCAAGGGTCTCTCATGGTTTGCCTCCCTCCCTCTCCCCAACTATTTTTCCCCTTCTTCTCCCCCATGGTCCTCCGTTAAGTTCCTCCTAATCCACCTATAAATGCAAACATATGGTATCTGTCTTTCTCTGCCTGACTTATTTCGCTCAGCATAACACCCTCTAGTTCCATCCATGTTGCTACACGTGGCCAGATTTCATTCTTTCTCATTGCCATGTAGTAGTATTCCATGGTATAGATAAACCACATCTTCCTGATCCATTCATCAGTTGATGGACACTTAGGCTCTTTCCATGTTTTGGCTGTTGTTGAGAATACTGCTATGAACATTGGGGTACATGTGGCCGTATGCATCAGCACTCCTGTATCACTTGGGTAAATTCCTAGCAGTGCTATTGCTGGGTCTTAGGGGAGTTCTATTGTTAATTTTTTGAGGAACCTCCACACTTTTCCAGAGGGGCTGCACCAGTTTACATTCCCACCAACAGTGTAGGAGGGTGCCAGTTTCTCCACATCCTTGCCAGCATCTAGAGTCTCCTGATTTGTTCATTATCACCACTCTGACCGGTGTGAGGTGGTATCTCAGCGTGGTTTTGATCTGCATTTCCCTGATGATGAGGGATGCTGAGCATCATTTCATGTGTCTGTTGGCCATCTGGATGCAGGAGCCACACATTGAGTGTATGTATGGCCTTGCTCCCTGTCAGTCCCAACAACAGAAATGCTCTCCAGGAATCAGCAGCAGCTTGAATATGCCACTTAAAAGGGTAGTTTAATTGAGGCTCTGGGTTAGGCAGCTTCACACTTTCCTTTCAGCATAGGCAGGCTCACCCATACCCTTCTGGGTCATCCCATGGCTTCCACTATGGGTGACAGGTCTACGGTGTCAGGGTACAACCTAGAGCCATTCAGAGGCCACTTGGCTAGCATCTAGTAGGCCTGGAGTTAGTGTAGGCCCCACCCAGCTCCCTTACTGTGTTCAAGCCTTCTCTCAACTGCCACAAAGTTAAAATATAGCTTTTATTTCTTTTCCATCATTCAGTCATTCATTCAACATCCTGGTCTTTGGCAACATGATGGACACTGTGCCAGGCATGACTCAGTGGCAAAAGCACAGTCCTGTGTTAGATCCTGACTTTTTTTTTTTTTTAATTTATTTTCTTTTTTTTTCTCTTAGAGTGTGCACAAGCAGGGGAGAGGACTAGAAGGAGGGGCGGGGGGAGAGAAGAGAGAGACAGAAAGAGAGAGAAAGAATCTCAAGCAGGCAAGGATCCTTGCTCAGTGAGGACCCCAGTGTAGGGCTTGATCCCACAACCCTGTGATCATGACCTGAGCCAAAATCAAGAATTGGACACTCAACTGACTAAGCCACCCAGGCGCCCCCTGACTTCCCCTTTACTAGATTAGATGACCTTGGGGAAGCTACTTAATCTCTCTGGAAGTAATAATACCAATTTATGGGAATGAAAGAAGTGCTAGCCAATAGAAATATAATGTGAGCCACACATGTCATTTCAAATTTTCTAGTAACCATGTTTTTCAAAAAGAGGAGAAAGAGAAACAGGTACAATTATTGTTAATAACATATTTTACTTAATCCACGATATCCAAACTATTATCCTATTATTACAAAAATTATTGGGGGTGCCTGGGTGGCTCAGTCGATTAATAAGAGTCCGACTTCGGCTCAGGTCATGATCTCACAGTTTGTGGGTTCAAGCCCCGCTTTGGGCTCTGTGCTGACTGCCAGTGCAGAGCCTGGAGCCTGTTTCAGATTCTGTATCTCCCTCTCTCTCTGACCCTCCCCTGCTCACGCTGTCTCTCTCTCAGAAATAAATAAAATATTTAAAAAAATTTTTTTAAATACAAAAAATATGAGATGCTTTGCATTCTTTTCTACTAAGTCTTCGAAATCTGGTGCATATTGGACATTATGGCACATTTTAATTGGAACTGGCAATAATTTTTTCTGTTTGTTTATTGTCAAGTTGGTTTCCATATAACACCCAGTGCTCATTCCAACAAGTGCCCTCCTTCATGTCCATCACCTCTTTTCCCCCTCCCCCAACCCCCTCAACCCTCAGTTTGTTCTCAGTATTTAAGAGTCTCTAATTGCCTCCCTCCCTCTCTTTATCTATTTTTTCCCCTTCCCCTTCCCCGTGGTCCTCTGTTAAGTTTCTCCTGTTTCACATAAGTGAAAACAAGAACTGGCAGTATTTTAAGCACTCAGTTGCCACATGTGGCCAGTGGCTCCTGTAAGAAACAGAACAAATCGTGAGCACCACACAAAGTACGTAGTGGTCACCTTCTATGTGTACTTCTTAGTGTAAAGAGCCTCATCACATGGCCCAGTGCCCAGAAAGTATGTGGTGAGTACACAGCTGCTGCTTCTGCCACTGCTGTGTCCTTACAGAGGAGACACCTAGCTCATATCCATGCACTTTTGAGTTCAACCATCTAGATTAGCTTGGGAGTAGAGAAGACGTGAAGAAGACCAGTCTCCACAGTCTACTCAAGAAACTTTGGTTTGGGGCTAGGGAACGAATAGAAGCAGGCCTGGAAGCAAGTGGCTCTTGGAGTTGGCAAGAGACCCAGAAATTCTAAAGTCTCCTCCAATGAAGAATTAGATATTCACTATTTTGTAGCCCCCAATGAAGTCATGGGTCTAGGCAAGTTTACCCATGGCCGCTAAAGCAATCAGATGAAAACTTGATGGGGAACCTTCTAAGGAGAGATCAGACGGACAACACCCAAATCCACTGATCCATTTTCTCCCCAAGAGCAGAACAGCTGGACAACGTGTGCCTCCTGATATGATGCAGTAAGAAGCACAGGCAAGATTCTTGCCCCACCAAAAAACTATTTACACATATATACAAATACCCTGAATCTGATCAAGTCACTAATCAAACCACCCGTGTTCAGGAAATAAAGAGGATACATTAAATACCACCTGTCCACCAAATCTAGAATGTGGGAAATTCTACAAGATGAACCACCCAAGTTTTTCAACAAATAAATGACATGGAGAAGGAAAAAAATCTGTATGTGTGTGATGGGGTAAAGCAGGGAAGAGGTATGTTATAGAATAAAAGAGGCTTAAGTTTCAAACAAACCAACTGTAAAAAGGCATTTTTGAGGAAATCATCAGGGACTAGAGAGTAGATATTAGAGTAGTTGTTATTTGTACTGGGTATAATAATACTATTTGTTAGAGATACACATTGAGGTATGTGCAGGTTAAATGACACAATGTCTAGGACTTCCTTTCAGATATTCTCCCCAAATTAAGTAAATATATAAACCAATAAAAAGTGGGAGTACAGAACAAATAAAACAAGATCATTACTGAAGCTGGCCAGCAACTATAGAAGGTGTGCACCGTGACAGGGCAGCCCTGCCCAACCTGGGAAACTCCAGCCTCGTCAACAAGTCAGAGCATCTGAGCTCAATGTGGGCAGAACTGTACTGCTTGCACAGTCACCCAGGAATTTGCTTATAACACAGCTCTCCAGGCCCTACCCTAGACCTCCTAAATCAGAACTTTTGGGAGTGGGTCCTGGGAATCTGCATTGCAATAGGCTCTCCTGATGATTCTGATGCATATAAAGTACAAGAAGCATGGGAACAGAGAGGCTTGCCATAATTATCAAGGGACCCAAACCCGCAGGACTGGCCCCTTATCCACGGGAGGGGTAAGGATTCTACCCAGAGACTGAAGGAGCCAGAAGACCAAAGACCAATTCTCTAGATGGAAAGCAAGCTTACCCCTGGAGGTCCCTCTCCACCTGGTTATTTTCAGATGTCCTTGCAGACCCCTGAGTGTGACTACCAAGAGCCTCTTGGGCTTGGACACGAGGACTCTGCAGGAGCAACCTGCATGCCTGAGAGTGCCACTCAGGCTTGGTCCTTCCCCTCCAGGACCACTACCATAGGCTTATACCTTCCACCATGGATTTCCCATCTGTCATTCCTCGGGCTTCTGGCCTCCTCTTGCCACAACCCAAGCCCACAACAAAAGCCCATGCCCCATCCACTTGGAAACCATTCGTGGTCCCCATGCTTTCCCAGCAAGATCCTATTCTCCCCCCAGTGAGATACATCCCAAAGCATGTATCCTGACCCTGTCATTCTGGGGTGGCCCCAGGGACAGGAAAACTCAGCCTTCTTTTAAGACCAAGTAATGGGTCCAACAGTCACATTTTCCTCATCCTCTTCCCTACCCCACCCCACCCCTCCCAGGACCTTCACTGTCCCTCAGGGTACCATCCCCCACTTCTTCTCCCTCCTGTAAGGGCTAAACTCTTACATGCTATCACCCGGGATCAGAACTCTTCTGGAATTTTCCTCTCTGAGTATTCATCATGGGAGACCATGTATATGAGCTCTGTCTGCTTGAAGTGGGACTTTGGGTCTGGGGACCAATTGTTCTTCCGCCCTCAGCCTCCCTTATCTCTTCCTCCCTCATGGCGTCCCCAGCTTACCCGTCCTCTGGTCCTATTCTTTCGCTTGGGAATATCCTCTTCTAAATCTTCTTCTTCATTTCCTTCTTCTGCATTTTCGTCATTTTCCAGAACCCTCTGAAAAGACAAGAAAATAAACAAAAGAGTTGAGAAATAAAATGCAAAGGAGAAAGCCATCAGGGGGCGATTTGAGTCGGGGAGGGGGTTCTGTTTTGTTTTTATGTTTTAACAAAGCAAGACGCTGCCATTGCTTGGGAAGCAGGGCCTCCGAGATGCTGCCCAGGGTCTGAGCTCTTGGCGGTAATAACTCTCTCAAGCCCTTGGGCCCCTTCCAGCCCAATCCTCCCAGAACACTGACATTTTTCAACTCTTTTTGCCCAAGAAACGTTTTCTAAAAAGAGAATACTCCGATAGGGGCACTTTTCTATGTGGACCCAAGATGTTTTTCAAAACCTAACTTTTTTAATGTAATTTTCCTTTTGTTCCTAAATATGAAAATATGTTCCTTCATTCTCTGCCATCCTGGAACCCTGCCCTGTTTGATGAAAACAAGTAACTTCCTGTTCATCTGACCAGAATTTGACATGAATTTGTTGTTCTTAATCACCCATTGTTTTTTTTAAAGAAAAATTGGTTTTTATTACAACACATAACTTGTAATGAAGCTTAAAGATCATGTATTTAATGATCACTCTCCAACAGCCCTGTGAGTCACACAGCAGCAGAGAATCCAATTTCCATTTTATAGGTGAATAAACTGAGGCTAAAAACAGTTTTGATTGCCCAAGGTCATACAACAAATCCAAGACCAAAGCTGAATCAGGTTCATCAGCTCACAGTTTTCTGTTCATTTCTCAGCCCTATGCCTGAAGACTGAGGTATATTATATAGACCCTTCTTGCAGGGACCTGAACATTTCACTCCCTTTGGGAGTGGGGAGGACAGGTAAGGTGTGTACTTCTAGATTTCAGGGAGAAAAAAAAGATTGTGGCAGAGGGCCCAGCTCCCCTGACTGAAAGTGGAATAAGGAGAAGGGATATGGAGCTCACCGGACTCCATGTCCAGGGCCCTAGGAGCTGCTTTATGGACTCACTGTGCAACCTCAGGCGAGTCATCATCTCTTCCTGCCTCAGTTTCCCCAATTATAAAATAGGAATTCATTTATTCATTCAATCAACAAACATTTGTCTAGTGCTGACTACATGGCTGTACTACATGCTAGACAAGCCACAAAAAATGACTACAGTCCGTCCTGGTCCTAAAAGGATGCCACAGTATAGTGAAGGGAAAACAGGTTTAAAGAAAAACCACAACCATATAGTTACTACTGCCATAAACGCAGTGATGAGCAGGTGCAAGCTGCTAGAAGAGGCTGTTAGAGGGAAGTTTCTGTAATCTGACAGGTCAGGAGAGGCTTACCTGAGGAAGTGACCTAAGAGGATTGAGATGTAAAGGATGAGCAAAGACTAGCTTGGGGAACGGAGATGGAGGGCAGGGTGGGAGGAAAAGTATTCTGGGCAGAGGGAACATCATGAGCAAACTCCCTGAGGGAGGGAGAGGGATATGGCTTGTCCACGTTGCAGAAAGAGGCAAGTGTGACTAGAGCTGTGACTCAGAAAGAGACTGGTATAAGAGGAAGCTAGAAAAAAGGCAGGCACCATATTATACACAATAACAGCATCCACCCACGCTTGTGATGATGTGACAATCACACAAGCTGTAAAAAGGCTTATGAGCAGCACATACTGCACTGACGTGTGGTATCACCATCCCTGTTCAGGTGGCCTCCTGGACAACGCGTGTGGCCTGTCCTCCAAGCAGGAAGCCCAGGAGTGAGTTTCCAGGCACCTGCTCCCACTGTCTTCTAGTTGGAATTCTCTTCCAGCCACAGGGGTTCAGACACTGCTGATTATAAGTCCTCACAAAGAACTCAAAACAGGTCTAGTAAATTCTCCGGCTTCTCTACTGGGCTTACTGGGGAAGCCATCAGCTGACGACACGTGGGGGTTCTCAGGGCCGACCGCAGCCATCTAACAGACAAGTAGCTCTGCCTGCTAGACACGATCTCTGGCCCACGGCTGGGAAACACTGGCCCAGGTCCCAAGCAAGCCTCCTAGGCTCTCTGCACCTTGGCTCCCTGAACCATCGGTGGGAATACAAGGGAAAGTCAAGCAAGACAATGACAAGTCAAATGCTCTGCAGGCTTTGGTGAAAAGATGCGGCATAAATATGAGGTGTTGTTGTTATGACTGTTGTTGCTGTTCAAACTGCTGCCCTGCCAGCTTCCAGGTCTTGAAGTCATTTAATCATGGTGAGTTCCGAGTACCTCACATTTAAAGGCCATTGTCTCTGGCATCTGGTACAATCTGACTCCACTCTCATTTTTTATTATGAAGGTGTTTATGACCTGCAATATGGACTCGGTGTTGGAAAGGTAAAAAACTGGTTGAAGGCGGCTGAGCTGGTCTCCAGCAGTGCCGCCTGGCCCCAGTGTCCAGAAGTAAGCTGACGTCTACCTCCCTCTTCCCGTTGGTGTCCCTGTGTCTTGGGAACCCCAAGTCTGTGCCCCAGGCTTCAGATGTGACAGCGGCTGCCCCAGTGTGTTTGCATTTCCTGCAATGTGGCCCCGACGCCCAGAAGCCTCTCTGCATAACTAGGGAGGAGCCAAGTGTCTCTAACAAACAAAGCTCGCATTCAGGGCTCAGGAAGCAGAGGGGGCGTCCTGTGCAGAGGAGTCAAGGGCAGGGATCCAACTGAGATGCGGCCGATCCCCCACTAACATACTCGTGTTCCCTGTCCAAGGACATTATCTGGAAAATAAACACATTTTAAAATAACTTTTCTCCCTGTTACTCTAAACAGTCTTTACGGTGATGATAACAATGGTTTGTGGTTGTGTTTAAAAAAGAAGAAGGAATGTCTTTAAAAGACTCCATTATCTCTGGCCTGGAACGCTGCAAAGCCTCCTAACTGATTACCCTCCTCCCGCCGGCCCCATGTCCAGTATCCCTTCCACGCAACAGCCAGAGGGATCCTGAGGAAACGCAAATTTGCTGCCCTGGTTAAAATGGCTTCCTTTTTCACTCCCATGAAATCATGTGCCTCCTCACATCCTGAGAAGCCAGAGTGGTCTGACCCTGCCTGACCCTCCTACTCCATTCTAGGCCCTGGCGCAGTCCTCCAAGCCACATGAGCCTTCTGTCAAGTTTTTCCCCCCTTTTTTCTTTTTCTTTTTATTTATTGAGGTATAACTGACATACAATATTACATTAGTTTCAGGTGAACAACATCGTGATCTGACATTTGTGTACACTGCAAAACGGTCACCGCAGTAAGTCTAGTTGCCATCTGTCACCCTACAAAATTAATACAATGTTATTAACTACATTCCCCATGCTGTACATTACATCCCCATGACTTGTTTTATAACTGGAAGTTTGTACTTCTTAATTCCCTTTATCTGCTTCACACCCTTCCAACCCCCCTCCTCTCTGGCAACCACCAATCTGTTCTCTGTATCTATAAATCTGGGTTTTGTTTTGTTTGTTCTATTTTTTTAGACTCCATATGTAAGGGAAATCACGTGGTATTTGCCTTTCTCTGATTTATTTTGCTTAGCATAATATCCTCAAGGTCTGTCCATGTTGTTGCAAGTGGTAAGATTTCTTTTTTTTTTTCGTGGCTGCATAGTATTCCATTGTGTGTATACATGTATGTATGTATGTATATATATACCACATCTTCTTTATCCATTCATACATGTATATATATACCACATCTTCTTTATCCATTCATCCATCAATGGACATTTAGATTGTTTCCATAGCTTAGCTATTGTAAGTAATGTTGCAGTGAACACAGGGGTGCATATATGTATTTGCACTAGTGTTTTCATTTTCTTTAGGTAGATATCCAGAAGAGGAATTGCCAGATCATATGATAACTCTATTTTTAATTTTTTGAAGAACGTCTATACATTTTCCATGGTTGCTGCACCAATTTACATTCCCACCATGTGTGTATGAGGGTTTCCTTTTATCCACATCCTTGCCAACACTTGTTATTTTTTGTCTTTTGATAAAAGCCATCCAGACAGGTGTGAGGTGACCTCCTTGTGGTTTGATTTGCATTTCCTTGTTGACGAATGATGTTGAGCATCTTTTCGTGGGCCTGTTGGCCATCTGGATGTCTTCTTTGGAAAAATGTCTGTTCAGGTCCTCTGACCATTTTTAAAAAATCTTTATTTATTTTTAAGAGAGAGAGAGAGAGACAGAGGGTGAGTGGGGGAGGAACAGAGACAGAGGCAGACACAGAATCCAAAGCAGGCTCCAGGCTCTGAGCTGTCAGCACAGAGCCCACTGCAGGGCTGGAACTCACAAACCACGAGATCATGACCTGAGCCGAAGTTGGATGCTTCACCGACTGAGCCATCCAGATGCCTCTCCTCTGACCATTTTGTAATTGAATTGTGTGGGGTTTTTGTTGTTGTTGTTGAGTTCCATGAGTTCTGCATCTTCCATCTGTCCTTTCAAAACCACCAGCTCAGACCTATCTTGAGGCCTTCACGCACACTGTTCCTCTACCCAGAAAGCTCCTCCCCACATCCTCACTTCACTTGCCCCTTCCCATCCCTTAGGGCTGAGGTTAAATCCTTTACCTTCCATAGGACACTGCCTAGAATCTGTCCCTCCACTTATACTGAGTCTTCAGACTCTGATCTTTTCATGGTCATTTATCCTGAAATACAATTATTTCTTTTGTTTACTTGTTTTCTGTCTATAGATCATACTAGAATGTAAATGTGAACAGATGAAACCAGTCTCTTGGCTTCTCTGTCTCCCTAGATCCTAGCACAGTGCCTGCTTAGAGGAAGCACTCAATACAGCTTGGTTGAATGAATTAATTTTAAAAAATGAGCAAATATAGTCCATGTACTACATATGTACTTTATTTTACTAACCAAAGCCAATAAGAACATGTAAACTCATTGGGCTCATGGTCCTGGTTTCGGTTTCTAGCACAGTAGATGGGAGCCCATCTCTGCACTTATCAGACACTCCATTTACGTAGGGGATGTGAGTGATGATGAGGATTCCAAAGTGATGACCCACATACTGGCCCAAGGCTGTCTGAGAAGGACTCGAACCAGCTTGAAAGGGTAAAAGACTATCTATCATTAGGGCTTCAGGGTTTCAGGGCAATGGCTCTGTCCCATCCACTGATTCTGTGAAATTATGCAAACTGCACAATACAGATGTGACAGACCTTAACCTCAAAGACCTGAAAGTCCAAAACCTGGGGGAAAGGGGAATACATAAAGATGGAAAAAAACAAAGAAGAAAGAACTAGGCAGTGACAAGAAGAGATCCTTCTGGCTGTGGGGCGATCAAGAAAGACTTCCTGGGGAAGGTGGTATTAGGGCTGAGGCTAACTGAAGGCTGGGATTTGTACACATACAGTAGAAGAAAAAATCCACCAAGTAAAGGACACAGCATGACCACAGGCACAAAGGGAAGAAGACTGAAGAACAGGGGAGTACAGGACTGAGGGGAAAATAAGCCTGAAAACCAAGTTAGGAGCAGAGAAGGAGGCCCAAGAAGATCACACTCACCATTTTGGATTGACCTAGTAGGAAGTGTTTCAGCTAAGTTTTTTAAGCAAGGGATTGGCACAAGCTGGCTTTCTTGCGGGATGAAAGATCAGTTAGCAAAGCAGGACATGTTGGAGAGAGGAAGAACTGGGGACGGGGTGACTCCCAGGAATCTGTTCACTTGCACATCCATTTAAGAGATATTTGTTGTGTACCTACTAAGTGCTCATCACTGTTTGGATGCTTCAGATATATTAGTGAATGAGACAAAGAATCCCACCCCTGAGTTTACATTCTATTGGAAGAAAACAGAAAATAAGCAATCACATAACAAACCAGCAAATTGCAAAGTATGTTAGATCGTGATTAAAGCTATGGGAAGAAAAAAGAAAAAGCAAAAGAAAGCAGGGTAAGGGAATCGGGAGCACTAGGGGGCAAGGAGGGCACTGGATGTGGTTGTGCCCACAGTGATCAGGGTAAATTTCATAGAGAAGAGACAGGAGCACAAAGTGCAGAAGGGGAGGGGGAGGGTCCAGCTGATGTCTGGGGAGAGGACTCTGCAGACAGAGGAAGTAGGCGGAGCAAAACCGCAAGGCAAGAGAGTGCCTGGTGTGTTCTAGAAGGAGCAAAAAGACATCAGTGTGCCTGCAGCAGAGTGAGCAAGGGAAAGGCAAAGCAACCGAGCTGGAGAGGTAAGAGGGCCTTGACTTTTTATTCTGGGACAACAGGAGCCTGTGCAAGTTTGGGGGCCCAGGAATAACAGGATCAAATTAGGTACTGAAGGGCTCCCTGTCAGTCACTAGCAAGGGCTCCTCTTAGAAAGCAATTGCAGGGGACCCTGAGCAGCTCAGTCGGTTGAGCGTCCAACTTGGGCTCAGGTCATGATCGCACAGTTCCTGAGTTTGAGCGCCACATCGGGCTCTGTGCCAACACCTCAAAGCCTGGAACCTGCTTCGGATTCTGTGTCCCCCTCTCTCTTCCCCTCCCCTGCTCGCCCTTTGTCTCTCTCTCAAAAATAAATAAACATTAAAAGAAATTTTTTTAATAGAAAGCAGTTGGAGCCCTTCAGACCAGAGATGACAGCAGCCAGGACCAGGGACCTGGTAACAAGAGTCTGTGCTCTCGATTTGGGTTGTGGGCACAGCTCACAGGATTCCCAATGAACTGGCTGTTGGGTGTGACAGACGAGTCCAAGGGGCATTAGACGCATGGAGGTAACAGCTATTAAGGGTGTTTACTAGGGCTGTAACTCTCAGGAGGAGAGGAGGCAGCCAATAGAAGCCATGTTGTAACATGGAAAAGACTTGACCATTCATCTGAACACAGGATGGCAGAGAAGGAGGCCAATTCACTGCTTTGTTCTACATCTGTTTTGAGACTCGACTGCTGGGCGCGTGCAAGGCCCCAAGGGGACAACGGTGAATACAATAGCACAGTCCCCAACTCAGTGGAATGCCCTGACTTGGTGGTACTTATGAAGCAAATCCAAACTTTAACTGTTACAGCTTGAATTATAACTTCAATAAATTAATATGCAAATCTTAAATATTAAATTAGATATACAATTAATAAATATGTAATATGATATAATATGTGTCACATAAAATAGAAAGTATGATAAAATATACATTTAATACAAATGTAATTTGATTTTAATAACTGAATTATATTTAATTATTAATACTATTGTTCAATATTTATATTAATTACTATGACTACAATATTCTGTGCCAACCATTGTATTCAACACCAGAGATTTAAGCCAGATAAATGAGAAACGGTCAGAGTGCACCGTTATAATCTTGAGTAGGAAGAGCCCCAGTAGTGCTGGGAACAGAGGGTGCTAAACAAACAGGGACAGGATCCACCAGCCCTGCCTGAACGGTGACTCCTAGACTGGCCTTGAAGGAGGAGAGGGTGGCGCTGTGGACTAGAGCTGAGGACAGGGTGTGAGGAAGTGGCGGCGGGGGGCAGGGGCTCACTCAAGACAAGCCGGTGTAGACGACCTCCTTTTAAGACTGAACTATGGACTGTTCGCTCCTCAGGGGTGAGGACTCCCTCTCTCTGGTTCACCATCATGTTCCCTGGGACCCAGCATGGTGCCTGGCACACAACAAGCAAACACCGTACTTTGAATGAATACACTGGGACACGGAGGGAGAGGAATAATGACTTCTTCAAGGAGGGGGAGGGTGGAGACAGGTTAAATTAGAAAAGAATTTGCTAGTCTTCCAGGAGCAATGCCACGGGGCAGTTTGGGAGGAGGACCCCCCGCCGTTGCTGGAGTCCTGGAACCACAAGGGTGACGCTCTGGACACCCCACCCCCACCCCCCCAGAGCGGGCACAGAAATACCTGTATCTCCTGGACGCTTTCCTCCTCTCTGGCATCCACCTTCTTCTCAACACCCTCACCGCGGAGCAAGGCCTCCAGTGTGGTACTTTCTGAGGTGAAGCCATCCTTTTTCAGGGGCAGCTCCACTTCTGAAATGTAAGGACAGAAACGCAGGGTCAGCCTGTTAGAAGCAGGAGGCATGGGAGGGACAGCGGGTGGCCCTGAGGGCACGCAGGAACCAGAAGCTCTCGGTAGGGCTGGAGATGGCCTGCGCTCTCTCCTCTGGGTGGAACAGAAAGAGTTGGGTCCGGCTCTTCCATCTCCTCTTCACAGTCCAGAGACAGACCCCACCCCTGCTGATACCCTCAAAGACGGCAGAGGCAGCACAGAAACCGCACCAGATGGACAGTGCCTCTGGGCAAGGTGCATCCACAGAGTGAGGGTAACAATGCCCAGTACCCACAGGGCCATTGTGTGGGGCATAAATATGTTCCTTCACCTTAACATGCTTTGAAAACTCTACAGCAACGCTACACCAACGTTAGCCTCAAGTCTTATTATTCTCTCCCTCTGCCCAAGTCCTCTCTGGCAACTCCACCACCTCCCCTCAGCCACGCTGCCTGCCCAGCTCCAGGTTGCTCCATGAGAAGCGACTCCGGGGCACCTGGGTGGCTCAGTCAGTTGAGCATCTGGCTCTTGATTTCGGCTCAGGTCATGATCCTAGGGCTGTGGGACTGAGCCACGGGTCAGGCTCCACACTGACTGAGTGTAGAGCCAGCTTAAGATTCTCCCTCTCTCTCTCTCATACACTCTCTCTCTCTCCCTCTGCTTCTCTCCCCCACATGTGCTCTCTCTCTCTAAAATAAAATTTTAAAATATTTTAATTTTAAAAAAGAAGCTGTTTCAACCTCAGAGAGGCTGTTCTCCTCAAGGGATACAAAGACCACTAAAACCAAGGGAAGAGAAGAGGGAGCAGAGATACCTAACAGACCCAGAATAATGGCTGGGGACTGCCATGCCTGCATACCAGGGTGCTTTTTCTGAGATGCCACAGTTTGATCGGCTACCTAGGGCTTGAAGTCATGGGGCCAGCTGAGCAGTGGTGGCCAGCGTCAGCCCTCTGTGTGGAAGAGACCAAGAGAAAGAAGCTCAATTCCTTTCTCAAGATGTCCCCCAAACTCTTCATCCAAAGAAAGATTTTTGGTTTGGGTTTTGCTAAATTAAAAACAGAAACCTCAGGTACAGGTGATCCTATTTCGATTTGCTACAAAACATTCATCCAATCTCCTCTAACTCCATACCTCTATCCCCATGGCAGTTAGAGGCTTGGCTCCTAACCTGTTATCAGGTATGATGAATACAGGAATATGAGGGGTTGGTGCCCGAGAAAACAATCAGGGGGAATGAACGTCCTGTAGGGGGTGGGGGGGATTGAGAGTTTAGTGTAGGAACTATTACAGAGGTGTGGGCAGGAGCAAGGGAACAACATGGAAAGATGAAGCATCCCAGGGGAGTTACCAAGTGCAGAGCCGTTACCACTGCTATTCCTGGAGGGACAGGGGGAGAGCGTTTGCAAGAATCTGGAGAGATCTGTGACTTGAAGTCTCAGTGAGCTCACGGGCGAGAGAACGAAGTTAAAGGGACATGTAGTCCAACTTCTCTCTTTCCATCCCTGTCTTCCTCCTCTGCCCTCCCATTGGGAAACCTCAACTAGACGCCAGAGGGCAAGGGAGCCTCGCTGAGGCAGCACACCAAGGTCAGTTTCCCAGGATAAAGGAGACTAAAGGTCAGTGCCCCAGGATGAAGAGTGGAGCTGGGCGAGAAAATGGAAATAACAGCACAATCAAGCCCTCCTCTGCTGGGCTTCATTCTGACTCAAATGGAACTCTACCCAACCCTTCCATCTCCTCAGAGCCAGATGCAGGCTGACCAGCCCACAAGAAAGAAGCACTGGAGTATCCCATTAAAACTGAAGAAACCCCCACCTACATGTGACCAGCCCCCAGAGGAAGAGGGTGGGATGGAGAAACAGCATCTAAAGATCCTTGAGAGACAAGATCTCTGGGATTTTTCTCACCAAAAAAGGCAGGCAAAGGGTCCACCTCCATCAAGAAGTACTACCACCAAATCAACCCCCTCCAAAACCCATTCATATACCTATTCATTCAACAAATATTTACAAAGAACCATGGTGCTATCACTAGGCACACGGGAGGCATACCAAATACAGACAATACTGGCCTTTGGGTGGCTTACAATCTAAGGAGACAGACACTAAACACGGCATGCAAAATAAATATGCAATTACAAATCATCATAAGTGCAATGGGGGGGAACAGCAGAGGGAAATGTGAAGGAAGAATACAGTGGGGGGTTTACTTTCGATCAGGGGGTCAGGGTAGGCCTATGTGATGAAGTTTTGTTGAAGTTGAATGTCAGAGAAACAGTCCACTGTCTGCTTTAATGAGCTCAGAGAGTTTAACTCCAGAGCCTACTCTTTCTCCCAAGTCCAAAAAAAAGGCTTCTAAACATCTAATACAAAACGAAAGCATGTTGCCTCATGTCCTGTCCTTGGTGAAAAGAGAACAGTGGGTCACCATCCTTCAAATTATCATAATCATATATATATTTGAAGTTCATATTTTAGTATCCCCCTTAGCCTCAACACTAAATAAATCCTATTTCCAGAATTGCACAGCATTTTAGAGCTGAAAAAAAGCCTTACAGATCATCTGCTTTAATCATCTCATTTTATACACAAATAACCTAAGGCTCAGAGAAGTTAAGTCACTTCACAGAAAGCCACACAGCCGAATAAGAATGCAGCCGAATGATCTTTCCTAGATGCCACAGAGATCATGAGGAGAGCCCCACTTCATGTATCCTAAATAGCACTTTGCAGGCCTGCTCCAAGCCCCAATGGGTGGTGATATGTTTGTATACGTGTAGAGTGCTCTGCACATAGTAAACATTCAAAATGTGGCTGCTGTTACTGCTATGTATTGTTTAACCCCCACCACCACCCAAGAGGTGAGCACAATTACTATCCCATTTCACAGACGAGGACGCTGCAGCTTCAGAAGGTATAGAACTTGTTTAGTGTCACATGGTCATCACAGGGCAAAGCCCAGCCTTGACCCCAATCTACCTACAGAATCGATTCACATGTCTCTAGCTTGTACAGACATCACCTTGTCTCTCTTTGGTTCCTCCTGAAAAAGTCCTTTTCCAAACCTTTGTGCATTTCCACTACATCTCTAAACTCTCTCCATAGTTTTCATATTTCAAAATAAAAGGCAGATTGTTGCTGAAGCTGAGGGCAGGCAGGTCTGTGTCATGGCTCTGGGCTCTGCTCTGTATGAACCTTCCCAAGAGGGATTCACCCCTTCTGCAGCAGTATTGAGCCCACCCGGAACTTTCCATCCATTGTGAACGTCCTCTCCTCTTCCTCTTCCCCTGCTAAATATTCCTCCATCCCATTTTTCCATAATTCAGTCTACTCTCTTGGTCCCCTTGGTCCCTTGGTCATTTACCAGATGGGCACAGTAGAAGAACCAAGAGAGAAAAGAGAACCAAACTGGGAACAGTGAAATGGGCTCCCTAAATGCAAAGAGCCAGAAGGGACTTCCAACAGCCTCTAGTGGCCAATCCCTGGGGAGGAAAGCATAGCACAGAAATATAAGGAGCCCTTCCCAGGGTCACAGAGAAACTTAGTGGCATTATCCTTGCCTAATTACCAAATATTTGATTGGCTCATAGAAGTTCTGCTTCCAGACAGCACTGGAGTCATGGTCCTGCCCTGCTTTGTATTAGCTGAGGGGCCACAGGCTAGTTACTCAGAACCTCTGAGTCTCTGTTTCCTTATGTGTTAAATAAGGATGATCACAACACTTCATAGTGTTGATGTGAAAATTAAACAATGAAATACACTGCCTAAAGAAACTCTGAAAGAGCCACAAAACCCGCGTGGAAACAGAGTAGAATATGAGGCTTATCAATTTTTGTTTTGAATTTGGTTTTTCTATTCAAAACCTATCATTCAAACTTAGATCATGTATGTAAAGGATCTGGGGGGCTCCTGGGTGGCTTAGTCGGTTAAGCGTCCGACTTTCGCTTAGGTCATGATCTCGCGGTTCGTGGGTTCGAGCCCCGCGTCGGGCTCTGTGCTGACAGCCAGCTCAGAGCCTGGAGCCTGTTTCAGTCTGTGACTCCTTCTCTCTCTGACCCTCCCCTGCTCACACTGCCTCTCTCTCTCTCTCTCCTAGAAATAAATAAAAACTTTAAAAAAAAAAAAAAGGATCTGGGATGGTCCAAGTACCCTAAAAATGCTCCAAGTTAGGGAGGCTCAGTCAGTTAAGCATCCAACTTCAGCTCAGGTCATGATCTCACAGTTCGTGAATTCAAGGCCCGCATTGGGCTCTGTGCGGACAGCTCAGAGCCTGGATGGAGCCTGCTTCAGATTCTGTGTCTCCCTCTCTCTCTGCCCCTCCCCCACTCATGCTCTGTCTCTCTCTGTCTCTCAAAAATAAATAAATGTTAAAGAAAATTTTAATGTTCCAAGTTACTATTATCAAAGTTAGAATAATCCTGATTTTAATGATACAGAAACACTGTCCAATAGAAACACAATGCAAGCTACTTACATAATTTTAAGCTTTCCAGCAGCCACATTTTAGAAAGTAAAGAGCAACAGGTGCAACTAATTTCAATATATTTTCTCTAACCCCCTATATCCAAAACATTATCATTTCTATGTGTGATAAATAGACAAAAAATTAATTCAATCTTTTGCATTCTTTGATTTGCGTTGAGTTTTCAGAGTCTGGTGTTAATGTGATATAGCACATCTCAGTTCAGATCAGCCATATTTCAAGTGTTTTGTAGCCACGTGTGGCTAGTGGCTACCATATTAGTGCAGGTTTCTAGTATTAAAAGGAACATGTGCTATGATTTTGTTTCCAAAAAAAAAAAAAAAAATAGTAAGATGTTAAGTATGGTTCTTAACGGTGCCTTCTTCATACCCAGCTGAGCACTATTCCAGGCCAGCGTTCTAGCTGACCACTGGCAAATCCTGCCTTCAAAGCACTCTGGGTAAGGCTTACAAGGTCAGAATGACAAGACCAACCGGTGCCCTCCCAACAGACCAGCA